TTCGGTGACTCACCGAAACAGCTATTGTTTTCGTTAAGATTTTTTTTTTTTTTTTTTTTTTTTTTCCCCCCCCTCCTTTTTCAGACTTTTTCTCCATAGGTTTAACACACGTTTCTTCCACCAGTCCACTTTGCCACTTTTTCAAATCCGATTGATTTCAGACTTGATACATACTCAGACCACCACCCACAGATGGTCCTAGAAGAAATTCGTGACCGTGACGTCATCAGGTGTCGGGTTACGTCACATTAAAGATGCATTTTTCCCCATATGTTTTGTACACGTTTTAAAACACTCCACTTTGGCCTCTTCGTAAATCCGAACGACCTCAGACTTGATACATACTTAGACCACTACCCACAGATGGTCCTAGAAGAAATTTGTGATCGTGACGTCATCAGGTGTTGGATTACGTCACATTAAAGATGTATTTTTCCCCATAGGGTTTGTACACGTTTTAAAACATTCTACTTTGGCACTTTCGTAAATCTGATCGACGTTAGACTTGGTACACACTTAGACTACCACCTACAGATGGTCCTAGAAGAAATTCGTGATCGTGACATCATCAGGTGTAAGGTTACTTCACATTTAAGATGCATTTTTCCCCATAGGGTTTGTACACGTTTTTCTTCAAATCATACTTTGGCACTATATGTCTGATTGACTTTTCACTTGGCAGATGACATTCGAAGTGACTTCATCAAGTGTTCATCACGTGCACAGAGTATTTCAAATATCCGAAACAGCTTGTGTTTGTCCACAAACACATTTCTAGTTCTTCTTGCTCTTTTTATTTGAAGTGGCCCTGGGGTATACCCAAGGAAAAGTTGGATGACACTAGGGGCACCGGAACCCCCGAACAACGGATAAAATCCGACAAGGGGGGTCCCTGAGAGCGAGATAATACGGAGCCCGCCGGTCCACGGTCCCCCAGGCGGCTTGCTCTGCATTGCTCATGTCATTCCTGGCCGTCAGCGCTTTAAGCCCCATGGGTTGGGTTGGGTGTGAGCGTTGTCCGGTGGCCTGTACAATAGTCCATCCAGGCACTCAGTGGTGTTAGGCACTGTGTTGGGAGGACATGGGTGACTCAAGCCCACTGAACTGTGAAGGCTAGTCCCCTCGGGCTGCCCCGTGTTTGGGGATGGGACAGAGGGTGTAGTGAAGCCCGGACCCGAGCCTCATTCACCATGTCAACCCTTTTTAGGTTTGGCTCCGGCAGATGAGATAAGTTTGGAGGAACCTTCCCGGAGCACCCCTTTCGTTTGGCTGTTCCGCTTAGGCTGACCGGAGAAGGCAACCGATGGTTCCCTCATTGGTCAACGGAACTGCCAGAGCCCGCAGCCGGCAGTGGCTGGGGATGCTGGACAGGAGACCGCTGCCGCAATAACGATGTAGCGTTAACGGCAGAGTCCCCCGAGAATTTGGTCCATTCTGAGGGAGAGCCAGTTCTCTCCAAACGCTTTATTACTATGCAATATCACACAACAAGACGATACAATAACTCTACTATAAATTCTTTAATCAAAATCTTCTCTTAAGTGATAAGGGTAGCAGAAATTGACGAGAAATACAGAGCGTATTTTATGCACATCCTACCCGACCGGCCGCTAAGAGAAAAGAGGAAGAGCGCAAGGCACTATGGGTAGGACACCAGAGGGCGCTATCGTGTAAACTCTTAGCATAAATACCTGCCGGTTTAGGGAAATATGCATAAGTAGGTTGCTCTACAAGTAAATTGAGTGAAGTAGACCTGGAATTTCCATGAAAACAAATCATGAAGTTGAGCTGCTTAGTCCTCTCGAGGGTTTACTGATCTTCAGATGCATGTTAAAGTGGTTTTTTTTTTTATCAATACAGAAACAGTGTACTTGGAGACCCAGGCTTATTTGCAGTCTTACTTGAAGGTCAACTATTAGGCTGCGTCTGAATCACATTGCTTGGGCCTGAAAAAACATACGCACATATCGAAGCCACTGGTCAATGGCTGCAGCCACTTCCTACTGACTCAACTTTTATTGCTGACTGTAGCCATGTGATTCGACCGCGGCCTTAGTCATTAGTGAGGAAATCAATGCTTTGTCAAATATGGAATACTTTTGTTTAGTTCAGTCATGATTAATGACAAATGGTGGGATGTGGACTTGATACACAATTCTCAATTTAATCATTTGACCAAATTCAGCATTGGGTTTGAATAGATTTAATGATAAGTTCCACTTTAATTGCATGTGATACCCACTAATTAAAGTGCTAACAAATGCTGTCATTTTCTTTGTAACTAAAGCTTCAGTTGAGAAAACAAGAGGAAGAAAATATACGTACATGGTATTTGGGTGGCAACGGTCCATAGTATGGCTTGTCCTTGGAAAGTGGAATATCTTCACCAACTCGAACATCATTCCAATGTTCCCAGGCTGGCGGGGGCAGGCCTTTGGTGTAGTATGGGTTGGGGGCCATACTCATTGAATCCAAAGGGTACAATGATTTGTATTCCTTTGGGTACCTAAGGATCAAGAACACAACATACTTCAGCTCTAAGTACTGCTACTGGAAAAAATATTTCTAAAATTCTAGAGCATGTATAAAATGCTGTTTTTTGAAGGGGCTGAGTTTGGCTTTTCCCTTAAATAAACCTAGAAAAGACATTACTAATATTTTCAGCTAAATTTTGTTCTCCAATTTGTTCTTTTCTGTAGTCCTTTTTAGAAGTGACATTATACTGATGTCATTCTTTGATTGTTTAATTTTAAAGAGCAACCAAAACAGAATGTGGTTGACAAGACCAATTCCTCAATTCAACATGTAAAATTACCACAGCTGTCCTATTTACACTGGAAATATTTCTCACACAAGGGCCACAGTGAAACAGATTTTCCCTGATTTCCGAAATACTCATTAAGTATTAATGATATGAATGTGATCCCTAAATCGTCATCAAATGACACGAAAAATAAACAATGTGTGTGATATAGGCATGCATGCACACTTGTTCACTCTGTCCCACTGTAATGACAATATTTCCTCACACTGGGTGATTTGATACATTTCTGTCATATGTTGGGGATTAGACGAACATCATTTGGTTCCCATATGATGTAGCCAGGTTCAATTGACATGGCATATAGCTTGCTGCGACGTCATCGAGTTATTGCTACAGCCAATAGGAAGGCAGGCTTAATTGACAGGTTGAGCATAGTGGCCCAATTGGTTCATACGGCATTTGTGACGGTGTTCCTAGAACAAGAGTGAGGCCCCATGATGGAATTAGATTCTGAGTGGGAGGTTTCTGGATGAACATCCCACAGAGGATTTGGATTAAAGTTTTGATTGTTAGACACTGAGGAGCCATCAGTACACCCTTTATGATAGAATGTCTGTGTCCAACCCTTGTGGATCGGGGTATCTGGTGCAAGAGACCGGAATTTGGTGATTTTTTCTCTGATGCAAACAGATCTATATGCGGTCAGTCTATGTGTGCAAAAAAAAACGGTGGCACTACCTGGGGTTGCAGTGTCCATTCTGTTGGACGGATGATCCCAATGGACAATGCATTGGTGATACAATTGTACTTGACTGGAAGATGCGTGGCTATCAATGAAATGTTGAACTTCAGGCACCATTGGAGTAGTTCCCATGTGAGGAGGCAAAGTTGTCCCAACCAAGTGCCTCCCTCGCGATTGATGTTTGAAACAACTGTGGTGTTGTGGCATTTATCAAGACCATCCAAATCTGAATGCTTGGTTAGAAATATTTGAGAGCATTGAAAACTGCCTGCAGCTCTAGGACATTGATGTGCCAAGCTTGTTGATGTTGGAGCCACATCCTGCTATTTGACGAGAAGCAAATGTGGCTCCCCAGCCTGACCGAGAGGCATCTGTGGTTAGGACTTTTGTTGGTAGCCGTTTTGGGAATTTTAGGCTGCTTGTCAATTTGACAGGATCTAGCCACCATAGAAGGTGTGGCTGTAGGTAGACAACATGGTACCATGAGGCTGATTGGGATATGTCTCAGTTGATAGTGAGCAAGGAGGTGGAGTTGAAGTGGGCGCATGTGAAGTCGACAATAAGCCACCAGGTCCACCATACTTGCCATTAATCCCAGTAGTTTTAGCCATGCTGCTGCTGGGACCACAATTTTTTTGAGTAACAATGTTACACATTGTTGGAGTTTTGGGTGCGTATATCTGTAGGGAAGGCAGTTCTTGTTGTGAGATTATCACTACTCCCAGGAAAGTTGGGGTCCGTGTGGGAGTTGGTTGCGACTTCGTTTCGTTGATGAGGAATCCAAGTTGAGTCGCCATACGCAAGGTCAAATTGAATGCTTTGCTGACTTACTGCTTTGACCGACCGACCACCAGCCAATTGTCCAGATACATGAACACCATGATATTCTGTCTGTAGAGGGCAGCACCTAAGGCTTTCGCAATCCCTAGACCCAGGGAGATGTTGAATGCCCAAATAGAAGGGCTGCAAACTCGCTTTTTTTGGTAATTTTATTTATCGTTCTTTTAGCAATTTATTTTTCTTAGTTTAATTTAATGTATTTAATTTAATCTAATTTAGTTTTAAAGGGAATGTACAACATTTGCTTTTGCTGCAATTTTCAGAAATAAATGGATAAGGAGGATTAGCATGCTATAGCAGATATTGCTAAACAGACTTGTTTCAAGTTTTGGGCTTGTAGATGCTAGAAAAACCAAGAAAACCAATCATGTTCTCGTAGAGCCTAGGCCATGGCCACATTTCTCTCTTCTACCTGGTCTACAAATGGGGTGGGCATGATTTTGGTATGGTTTTGCAGGGAAAAATCCAAGAAACGTTCGGTTACTTTTCACCCGCGAGATTTGGTTACATTAATTAGTAATATTGTTTTTTTCAAATTTTTTTAATGTTCAAAATATACCGCTCAGCCTCGAACGCACATTAGCCAATCAGAAGACATATTTTATTGATCATAGTCGATTGGCCAATCACAATCGCGGTAGTGGAGTGGTCCAGTATATCGCGTCGAAACAACATGGCGGCTTCCTGTGAGGAAGACATTTCGTCTTCAAGCGACGAAAATACACATGAAATATCGTGTTTTATGTGCATTTCCCCGTCAAAAAAGTGCAGAATGACGGCGTTCTCTGGTAAAACATGGACACGCTTCCTAGAGTACGTCATCAAATGGAAAGATTTGGATGGTCCTAAAGCACAAATTGTGATAGATTTTGCCGCCGACAACTCGGCAGCTGCAGCAGTGGCAGGCCTTCGCACAACTTTGTAGTGCAGCAATACCACAACACGGTGGATACCACACGACTTGCTACGCACGATTTACAGATTCTCAGCGCATTGAAAGAACAACGAAAAGCATGAGAAAGAAAGCCGATGCAGCAGCTTCTACAGGTGAGCTCAATATTTCTTTAAGCATGTTAAGAAAGCTTAAAACTTCATCATGTAAACAGGTAAACTGAAGTTTTACTAAATTACTGTCGATAATTTCGATAACAAAACTCAAACTCTGTCGTTGTTGTTGTCCATGTCATGTCATAAGCCCAATCAAGCCAATGTCTAAATCTTGCTGATACTAGTCCTAAAATGAATAAACTCTTAATAATCATGAGCATGATTTCAGTAATTTCAAGGACACAAGGAGTAATAATAAGGCAGTGGATATTTTGGCAAACCTTTAGTAAACGTTAGCAGGTTAGTTTGCTGAATATGCACTGAACATGCGCAGTTACTGTTTTTTTGTACTTAAACATTTTCCGTGAACAAATTTTAGTCTGGCTCCATGCCAATATTTTCGTTGTAACCTCGTATTCACAAGATGGGATTCAGACCATTTTATAATTTCGGACTTTATTTCCCTTTTAAAAAAAATCCTCCAGAGCCACAAATCTGAAAAAGAAAATGTATTACTCTGCAATAAAATGTTTGAGACATGTTAAAATAATAAAAGAAGAATATTCTTATTTATTTGGAGATGGGAAAATTTTTTTTTAAAATGTGGCGGAGATCGGGATCGAACTTGAGTCATCCCGCTCACTAGTGCTTTTGCTTAACCACTGTACCAAACGTGCTACACAACTTTTGGTGGGAATTTAATACATCTTATAATTCAGCCCTATCTTAAAGAGTACAGCGCACTCTGTTGATATGGATTGCCGCCGGCAAACCTTGAGTAAACGTTAGTTTGCCGTCATTACCTCCGGCAAAATATCCACTATCTAATAATAACGCAGTGGCTATCGTTACGGCAGCCATAACGTATTTCCCATTTTCTATCGTTACGGTAGTACTGCAACTTTTATAAAAACATGAGAAGAAAATATAAAATTAGAAGGAAAAAGTGAATTTGAACGTTATGAAATTCGGACTTTATTTCCCTTTTAAAAAAAATCCTCCAAAGCCTAGTTAGGCCAAAACAAAAAAGTCTCTGGTTTCTGGTATGGAGCTTGCCCAAAAAGTGGTGCGGCGACGCGGCTTTTTTTTTTTTAAACCTAATTTTTTTGCTTCATATGTGTGCTGATGACTGCAAATGGTGCCCGACTAAACTTAGTGCAAATATATGGGAGTCCAGAGAGGCCACATAAAACTTATTCTCGACCATAACCCAATCTAAAAACACGTTAAAATTGTGCAGCAGCTGGATTCCAGTCAAACCAGTGAGTTTGGCGGTTTTGAGACATCATCTTTCATTGAAAAAAACTTTTTCATTTTGCCGACGTGCATGGCTACGGCGAAGCGCGCGCATACCAGAAACCGGAGACTTTTTTTTTTTGGCCTTAGGTTAGAAAAGGAAAAAAATTTGAGTGCAAAACTGAGATGCAAACCCGCAACCTTGCGGTGCAAAATCCTACCCTCTATCGACTGAGCTGTCGCACTGCTCGCTAAAACGTGGGGAAACAAATAATTATATACCTGCGTGCGTATCAAAAAGTATCGTAGAGGGCGCTAAACAACGGCTGCCTTAACAATAGCCACTTCGTAAGTTACTTTCTAACTAGGGTTGTGACCATGTAATAAATTAAAGAACATGAACAGTGAGTAGGCCTATTCGATTGCAGGTCAACTCGCACCCTGACCGACTCGCCCCTTACCGACTCGCCCCCTGACCGACCCTTACAAGCTCGCCCCTTACAAGCTCGCCCCCTGGTTGACTCGCCTCCTAGCTGACTCGCCAACTCGCCTCCTAGCCGACTCGCCTTCAGACTGACTCGCCCCCTGACCGACTCGCCCCCTAGAAAATTATGCACCGTACGGGGACATCGTGAAAAAAAATTATATGTGTTGGGAAACAACTTAGCACAGCTTTACCGATATAGTGCAGCATGATTTTTCGCAGAGTGCCCATGGCGCGGCACACTGCCCGCGTTGGGCCTGTGCACGTAGCATTCACGGTGACTGCCGGCATGCGGAAGGTATCATTCACCGTTTGTTGACATAACTTGTTAATCTCGACTCTGGGTCCTCAGTTTCATTAAAAAATATTTTTAGAATAAATGAGGTAGGGCCTACATGTATGTTTTTTGGGGTATTTTTGGTTTAGTGGTGTTCTTATCAAACATACTGAACGGTTTTGAAAAAGTTATAAAAGAGGCTCGTAATGGAACTTTCAAAACCAGGGCAGAACCAAATATTGAATTGGGCATCCCGGCAATCGTAAAAGTTCAATCCCAAAACTAAGGTAAATGAAGCTGATTTGCTGGACCCTCTGTGTTACCCTCCACTGTCTTTATTATTTTTTTTTCACGATGTCCCCGTATGGTGCATCATTTTCCAGGGGGCGTGTCGGTCAGGGGGCGAGTCAGTCAGGGGGCGAGTTGGCGAGGGGGCGAGTCGGCTAGGAGGTGAGTCGGACAGGGTGCTAGCTTGTAAGTGGCAAGGTCGGTCAGGGGGCGAGTCGGTAAGGGGCGAGTCACTCGTACTCGTAAGTCGTTCATGTACATGTATCATGCAACCATGATTTTTTCTTATTGTTTTCTTTCTTGTGTTTATTTTGTAGAAAAAACAGCAACCACATCACAACTTGATGATGAACACAACATTGGTGAAAGTCCTCAACCAGCCAGAAAGAGAAGAGCTCTTCGTTCCAGCATGGGCAGACCTCCAGTGCCTGCAAGGTCAAATTCCCTGATTAAGCAGAAAAATTTTCTTCAAATTACTTCCAGCATGTACATTTTAAACAAATTAAGCTCTATTTATAAGGGCGTGATCACTGGATCTGCATAAAATTTGTAGATAAAAGGAAGCCATACATGTATCTTTTCTGTGGAATACATAAGTCAATTAAATTAAGTCTCTGACATTGTGACATCTTAAATTATATTATCATAAATTCAGTACAGCAGTGGTTTTATCAGAATTGTCTTTGTCATCCCTCAAAAGTTGTTTGTTACTGACTTCCTAATGTTGCATTCATTGCTCGTAATCTCGTTTGTAAGGTTTAAGATTCGTAGAAATGAGAAACCATTTAACTTTAGCCACAATATACCTGTGGGGGAGAGGGCAAAACAAAGTTTCACAAATATTAATTTCAAAATGGTACAAATTAGAAACGAAATCTTGGCAACCAGATAAAAATAGGCTTGGAGCAACTGACATTGCGGGGTAACTACCTGGTATGTTATGACGTCACTTGATGTTGATCATGCTATCGTGTTATTTTTTTGTTATTCACCTGCAATTGATGCTCCAAGCAAGTTTTAACTTGTTCTCATCATTATTTTTAATTATACATTAAAATCAGCATTAAGCTGTTTGATATTTTTTATGGGTATAGACCAGCAAGAACCTGTATTTATCACATAATACATGAACTGCACATTACTTGCACATTGTAAAAGCTTTGTTGACTTGTTATGTCAAGTAAAAACCATAACTCCCTTGAGCGTGTACAAAATGTATTGAAAATGGAGAATTTGGGATTATTATGGTTAATAAAAAAGTGTACAATAAGTATTTTAAAATAAATTGCATTCGTTCTGTGTTATTTGAGTTGTGATTTTCTTTTTATTTAATAACGTGTAGTTGGTGTATGTTGCGGGTTTGAGCAAGCGGTTCTCAGTAGTGTACAACATTACCACTTGTGAAAAGTAGTATGTTGTTCCTGGTACTATGGGCTTTCATTTCCTACCCTTTTCCCTCCCACCCCAGATGTAGACCACTGAATCAAAAAACAAGAGGCGTATTGATCCCATGGCCCATAGTCTATTGTAGTCTGGTTCCCTGACCCCAATTAAGATGAAACGGAGCAATTATAGACTTTGGGAAATTGAAAGGTCAGAGAATCAGTCTAGCAGGCTTGTACCCCTTCACAGCCTGGTGTGTAATCAATTGCAAAGAGCAGAAATGCAGAATAACTAAATATGCAAATGTAGGAGCAGTTTTTGAGAAAAAAAAGGCTAGTTTTCTCCAACGCTGGTCGGCCGACCATTGTTGGAAAAATACAATTTTTCTTAAAAATGTCAGCACACTAGGAGCCACGATTTTACAGGATGCCTAAGACTGTCATTCCCTAACAATCCAGTAAGGTGTTTCGTGATAATTTGATCATTTTTATCGTTGATACATGTATTTGCAAATGTTGTATTTTCCCTTTAATACATGTACATGCACTCAGTTTGTTTTTGAGGTTTCTTTGAAGATTTTAATTTTAATTTTGTTTATTTAATTTAATTGGATTGATTTAATGTAATTTAATTTTTGAGTGTGTGAACCTTTTAGTCAGGAGAGCCCCTTGACAGAGACTTTGTCTCTTTTGGGAAATCCTTCGGGAGCTGTTAGGTTTTTTTGGTTTTCTGTTATTGTCCTTTAATTTGTAGGTATTGGTTTTTACTGTTTATCCCGAGAAATATAGTAAATGTAAATGTAAATGTTTCTGTAATTTCCAAACGGGCCGATGGTTCACTTGGACACTCTGTGTACAGGAAACCCACACATACAGACCGATACCTTAATGCTCATTCATTCCACCCACCGTCAGTAAAAACCTTGGTAAACAGCACCCTACTTCGAAGGGCACACATCATCACAGAACACCTACCATCCGAATTGAAGCCTCCTCAATAAAGTGCTAAGAGACAATGGGTACAGACCTAAAAATCAAAACTTCGCACCGAATGCTAACTAGTCTCAGATCCCGAACACATCTGACATGCTGACTGCCATCCTTCCATACATTGGCCATGCATCACACAAGATATAGCGTTCCCTCCGTGAAGCGGATATTAAGGTCTACTACCGAACCCGCAATAAACTAGAAACGAAATTGTACACCCACAAAGACAAACACAATGTGAGCATTCAAGCAGGAGTTTACCGAATTTCTTGCTCGTTTAGCAAAGTGTACACTGAGAAGACCGGCAGAGACCTTACTACCAGGCTTAAAGAACACATACCTAGCTCACGGGCGCAGAGGGGAACTTAACAAATCTGCCTTTGTCAAACACTCTGCTGATTTAGATCATGTTGTTGATTGGGAACAAGCGTAAATCATAGCCCCAGTGAAACATTGGTACACCCGTCGTATCAGAGAAGCTATTGAGATCCACAAACATGATACTGTACCACAAGACATCGGCTATTTCATTAGCAACATATGGCATTCACTAATACCAAGTTGCAACACTCATGGCTCACAGCCAACTGACACACTGAGCAAGCAGCACCCGATTTCACGAAGCGCTGCCGAGTTGCAACTCGAGTTACGACGTGTAACACGCCGCAACTCGCGACGCATCGTATCATCCATTTCACGAAAGTCGCGATGTGTTGAACGCATCGTAAGTTCCTTGACAACGGCTTAAAACATGTTGCAAGTTACGACGTGTCTAGTGGTCATCGCAAAATAAGAAGAGTCATTTTTCTAAGACAGTTTTAAGCCATAAACATCACATAAACGAGATTATAATAGCGAGGCAATGTGTGTAAAGTTGCAAATAGAAAATTAATTGAATAATTATGAATGAGACCGGAATATTAGAGTTGAAATTTCAAAGTACCTATACACAGGCATGCAACTGGGAAATCACAAAAAAAGAGGAAATTCAAATTTTTCCCAGACTTTCTATTTTCAATGGCACACATGGGAGGTAAAAAAAAGAGGAAATCAGCTGATCCGAGGAAAAGTTGCATGCCTGTATACAGTCCAATGAGAGCTTGTTTTCCTTCAAAATTGCATCGCACGGCCGCCATTTTGTTTTACGTTTTAACAAATTTCCAGCTGAGATCCGACGAATTTTTGTTATATTGACGACTATTTACTGTACGCTGACTAAATACATAAAACAGTCATCGAGTTGTGCTATAAATACACCTATGAAGCATCGCAGTTACGACGTGTTTTATGAAATGAATCGCAGGGCACGTCCAGCTGCGTCGCATCGTAGAGATACGACGCGTCGCATCGCTGTGATGCATCATAAGTTACAAAAAGTTTGATGAAATCAGGTGCAGGACACTCAGCGGGCATCCCAGCCCAACACAATGCACAGTGCTCACAGCCAACTGACACACCCGAACGAGCAGGGCATCCCACTCCCAACACAATGCCCAATAGACAACCAATCAGAATCTACCAACATAAGCACTCCCAATCCTAACACAGCGTACTTCTCTTAATATAGCCCACAACTCTCTTCATTCTCCTGACGATGAATAGAGCAGGCTAGTGGAAACGTTGAGACCAAAGACAAGTTCTTTTAGAACTTAAAGCAGGACTGTTCTTATCAGAACAAAACTACATAGCGAAAGTTGATAATAAACAGGACAAGTTCATTTCAGAACTAAATATCTTCTAAGCAGTAGTTATTACCACATGGTGTTACCGCAAACCGAAACGATACCGATACTCCACCATGCAAAGCCTAAAATCTCATACTGGTGATTCTTCCCGTGGATCTACGAAAACGAAAAATGGGTCCAGCTAGCTACAGATGTCATTTTCACCATCCCCCATGAAACCGGGAGGCCTTTTCTGTCTGGCCACTTGGTTTAGCGGATTAATTTTCATGGTACTGCTTGGTTGATATGAAAGTGCTCCGTGACTGGGGCATGGCATATACGGACTCGGAAAGTCGCCGTTGATTACCTGGTTTTCGTCGAGTCTGGTCCTGCTTGGCAACCGGAACTTCCCGGCAAAAAAATCGGGACCCAGCAGCAGAGATGCCTGAGGGTCTGCTTGAAAAAAAAAACCCAGGAACTGGGTCTGCTTGAAAAAAAACAGGAACGGCTGCTTGGAAAAAAAAAAGTAACTTTTTTTGTGTGTGTGAAAAAGCCACTCCGAGTCCAACACAAAGTCCCTGTTTTCATCTTTATCTTCCAGCCAAGCCCAGTTCTGTTTATTTTTTAACTTTGCTTCTATGGCGTTCAAGCTGTCGGTTTGTTCAATCACTTTGACTTTTTCCATATTCCTAATATTAATTTTGCCTACCGAATTTCCAAGTAATATTGGACATGAAACATGCATGATTCCACAACACTGATCGGAAACCACTGACAACTGAAATGATAGACTTGATTTCCAGGCTGAATGCTACCTGTGCTTAGCGCACAACACGCCCGCAGGTGGTGAAGCACACGCGAGGCGCCGTTGTATACTGCGTGCAAGTACATTGCCTGCCTGTACCGCATGCAGGCTCAGCAACAACAAAGACGTTGTGCCGTGTGTGCACCTAAATGTACTAAATCGAGAGCGCTAACGAGGTAAAAATCAACGCATTTCCACAGGTTTTCTTCTCTTTTTTCCGATTTATTTTGACGGCCGGAAAAACTGGAATTGTGTGAGATTTAAACAAAAAACCTGAATTCCGGTTAAAACCAAAAAAATGGCATCTCTGCAGAAGAAGGAGTGATTCCATGCATTTTTCTGTACGAGATCTGAGCAACCTGTTTCATGGACATGCACATGGTTTTATCACGATACTCTGAATGAACTAAGAAGAAGGATGTTGTGTGTAATCCAAACCAAGAAGGCCAATCCACTTTCTTCAAGGTGTCTTCCAGCTATTTCTGGTTTGGTCGGCTAAAAGTACTTTTGTGAAACTTGATCCTATCCTGTCTGTAGTCAGCTTATCTTTGGCTGGGTGAGGAACGGCAGGGGCAGACAAGTAGTTTTCAAAATATTTTGTAGGAAAGCGAAATACGAGCTTGACTGTTTGTCAAACGATTTCCATTTCTTAGCTTCGGCCACAGATTGGATGTACTTGGTGCAATATTGATCCAAGGGTAAAATTGGAAAGGGTGAAGCTTTCCAGGTAGTGGCCCTGGTGCCGTTCAGCGCTTAAAGGATTGCCGAGGTGGAGGCTCATGTTCCTCTTTGCCTGTGTCTGGTATGCCAAGAACACGGATCACATCCTGTTGGACCAGACGGAGTTACGTTTCCAAGGGAGAGAGATGTCGTGCATCAATAACATCTTCATCAGATGAACCTTGGTCTCTGGAACATGCCTCAGCTTGACCAGTGGAATTCCCACCGCCACGTGGGGGCTATGTGGATCTCACATCTCCTACTGTCAAATCTTCATCTGAATCAGAAAAATTTTACTGATGAGAGAATGTAGATAGTTGGCAGTGAGGCAGGGGGGCGACTCACTCAGTGGCCCGATTTGCAACACTCGCAAATCCCCAGTTGCCAGTATTCAACAGCAGGTTCGCCGAACCACTTTCAGCAGGTGTCCCCCCCCCCCCCACAGAAGTGTGGGACGAGTCTACGAGTGATACTTACCCAAATAGCTACTACATATGCATATTTATTCAGCCGACAGGCTCAAACGCTAAAAGATTTAATCAACCAACGAGCGCCCTCTCGGGGCCTACCCATTATGCTAAGTCATGAATCCGCCATTATACTTCCTCTTTTTTCCCTCGCGCACTAAAGGTGAAAAACCATCGCAACGCGAGCCGAGAGTGGGGAGGAGGGCGGGAAGCTATTTGGGTAAGTATCACTCATAGACTCGTCCCACACTTCTGTGGGGGGGGGGGGGGGGGGGGGGGGGGGGGAGTCTACTTCATTCACTTACCCAAATAGCTACTACATATGCATAGAGTGGCACCGACAACCGGTGGCTGGGTAGGCGAGACGCCCTGAAATCAAATGGTTAAACAACAGTATATATATATATATACATAATGATTTAGACCATTTAGATTGAATATACATGGAAATGTATTACCTGCTTAGTTAGTCTCCTGGTCAGGCCGGGAAGGACTACTACGCAGGGTAGGGTTCATAGACGAAGACTGGTGTTGCGTCAGTACCGTCTTCCCCGTGTTCCCTCCAGTCTGGAGTACGTCACGTAGGTAGCAGGATGTGAATGTCGTTGCAGACTTCCAGCATGCTGCTTGAGAAATCTCTGAAATAGGGACCCCCCTAAAAAATGCCCAGGACGCCGCTACGGTACGTACGTCATGGGCTCGGACAAGGCCTTGGACAGAAGCATCCTTTTTGGATGGCCAGTCCGCATTTGCGAATTTGATAGCAGCTACTACCCAACGCGCAATGGTGTCCCTTGAGGCGGGGCCATGTGGCTTTATGGTTGTAATAAAGAGCTGCATGCATTTACCTTAGTGCGTGCCAGATACCATTTTAGGGCGCGCACCGGGCACCATAATTTGTCTGAGGGGACAGAGGAGGTCGACTCTATTTTGGGGAGGAAAATATCAGGAGGGCTAAAACTTTGGGATCAGGCGGACCCCACCTGGTTCCCAGCGGATATGTCCCAAATCTAAAGTCAGCGCATGGATCTCGCTGCTTCGCCTAGCAGTAGCCGCGGCGTGCAGGAAGGCCAACTTTATAGATACATGAATAAGGGGTGCTTGGCCCAAGGGCTCGTATGGAGCCTTGGCCAAAATGTTCAGGACCTGACCCAGATCCCAGGATGGGACAAATTGGCTCTGAACAATAACAGTAGAAATTCTGAACAATAGTTTAAAGAAGCACAGAGCGGATCCACAGTCTGTTCTGCGCACCACCTACTATAATGTCGTAGTCGACTGTCATAGATTCGTCGTGTTGAGAGACGACGTCCCTTTGCGGCCAGGGCTGCAGCGTCTTCAGAAAGACCTGCTGCTCGGTAAGCACGCTTGACAGTGGCCAGCACGCTAAGTGGAGATCTCCCGGAGATGGGTGTCGGAACCGGGACTGAGGTTGAACGAGTAGGTCGTGACGATCTGGGAGGATTAGAGGGGAGCCCACTAGGAGCCTCACCAGTCGGGGAAACCAGGGCTGACGCGGCCAAAAGGGGGCGATCAGCAGGATCTTGCATCTGTCTCTCTCCAGTTTCCCGATGACCTTTGTAAGGATTGAGATCGGAGGGAAGGCGTAAGCGAACATGTTTGTCCAGTCTATTGATAGTGCGTCCGAGGCCCATGCATGAGGCTGATGGGCTCTCGAGCAGAACACCGGGAGCTGAGTGTTGATTGCTGAGGCGAACAGGTCTATGTGTGGACGACCTAGGATCGAGAAGATCTGACTTACGATCCTCCTGTTCAATGACCACTCCGTGGGAACTACTTTGCCCCTGGAGAGAGAGTCCGCTATGTCGTTTTCCGCACCAGGAATGTGAATGGCGAGTAGATCGACTTTGTGTCTGAGTAGCCACTGAAACATTTCCCAAGTCCGGTAGCACAGCTGGGGTGATCTTGTACCGCCCTGTTTTTGTTGATATATGCTACCACTGTCGTGTTGTCGGTCTTGATTAGAACAGACCGGCCCACTACGTCTGCTTGAAAGTGGTGTAGGGCATTGACTACAGCCTGGAGTTCTAGAACATTGATATGTAGGGATTAGAGGGGAGCCCACTAGGAGCCTCACCAGTCGGGGAAACCAGGGCTGACGCGGCCAAAAGGGGGCGATCAGCAGGATCTTGCATCTGTCTCTCTCCAGTTTCCCGATGACCTTTGTAAGGATTGAGATCGGAGGGAAGGCGTAAGCGAACATGTTTGTCCAGTCTATTGATAGTGCGTCCGAGGCCCATGCATGAGGCTGATGGGCTCTCGAGCAGAACACCGGGAGCTGAGTGTTGATTGCTGAGGCGAACAGGTCTATGTGTGGACGACCTAGGATCGAGAAGATCTGACTTACGATCCTCCTGTTCAATGACCACTCCGTGGGAACTACTTTGCCCCTGGAGAGAGAGTCCGCTATGTCGTTTTCCGCACCAGGAATGTGAATGGCGAGTAGATCGACTTTGTGTCTGAGTAGCCACTGAAACATTTCCCAAGTCCGGTAGCACAGCTGGGGTGATCTTGTACCGCCCTGTTTTTGTTGATATATGCTACCACTGTCGTGTTGTCGGTCTTGATTAGAACAGACCGGCCCACTACGTCTGCTTGAAAGTGGTGTAGGGCATTGACTACAGCCTGGAGTTCTAGAACATTGATATGTAGGGACCGAGTGTTGTCGTCCCAAGTGCCTGCAGCTTGTCGAGGGGGAAGGGAGGCTCCCCAGCCCTCGTTGGAGGCGTCGGTGGAGATTATGACGTGAGGATCCCCTCTGGGGAAGCTCCGTCCGCACCGAATGTTCTGTTCCAATAACCACCACCGAAGGTGTGGCCGAATGACTTTGTCGATCGAGACCAATAGAGAGATTGGATCTGTCTTTGGTCTGTAATGTGCCAGAAGATGCATTTGCAAAGGACGCATCCTCAGTCTGCACCATGGAACCAGGTCCACTAAGCTGGCCATGAACTCTAGAAGTTTCAGCCAAGCTTGCGCTGGAGCGACTTGAACGGATAGGAAAAGTTTGAGGCACTTCCGCAGGCTGGTAACACGTTCCCCTGTGGGGACGGCTATGCCCCTGCGTAGATCGATCTCTGCTCCCAGGAAAGTGATTTCCTGGGACGGGATTAGGTGGGACTTCTTCTCGTTGATGATGAAGCCTAGCCTCGTCGTCAACGTATACGTTTCCCAAATTCTGAGCAGTCTGGCCTTCTGATTTTGCCACTATCAGCCAGTCGTCGAGATACATAAAAATCATTATATTTTCTCGTTGGAGACGTGATGCAACTGCCCGCACAACCCTGGTGAACACTCTTGGCGAGGTTGATAGCCCGAAGGGAAGGGCAGTGAACTCGTAAGTGCGCCCCTGATACCGGAAACGAAGGAATCGGGAGTGCTCTTGGAAGATGGGGACGTGTAGGTACGCGTCTTTTAGGTCTAATGACGCTTCCTCACGCTGGTGTGGGTAATGACTCTAGAACTACATGGAGAGTTTCCATTCGGAAACGTTTGGGTCTGACAAACTTGTTGAGCGGTTTCAGATTGATTATCGGCCGCCATTCGCCAGCCGCCTTCTTTGGTGTTAGAAAGAAGGAGGACAGGAAGCCTGTGAACTGCTCCATTGGTGGCACCAAGCGGACCACTCTCTTCTCGATGAGGGATGAGATCTCTTGTTCGAGAGCTAATTGTTTGTCTGTGTTTGTCGGAACCGGTGTTTCGCAAACACATATTTCCGACGGAGGGGTGCTTGTAAATTCTAGTTGATAGCCGTGGCTGACTATAGAAAGCACCCATGCATCGGAGGTGATCTCTCTCCAGGGCCCTACAAAATTTCTGAGGCGACCCCCGACGGGCCCCAGTGTGGGGGTCGGCTCGGTAGGGGCGTCACTGCCGCCACCCAGAGCGGGGGGCTGATTGCCCACCGCCATGTCCCTGGCCGCTAAGTTGGCGTGCAGGGCAGAGTAGGGGCGTGGAGCTGAAACCATTGCACCAGCTGATGCCTTGGCCATTTGTTGGCGAAAGGGCTTGAATGGTTTCTTAAGGGCAGGGCGAAACGAGAGAGCACCCTTCGTTGCCTTCTTCCCAGAGAACTTGGGCTTGTTGGTGGCTGAAGGCTTCTTCAAGCTCAGTTTGTCTGCTGTCTCAATTCGTTTGGCTTCAACTTCCAGAACTTCCTGGAATTTGCCTCCGAAAAGGTCTTTGCCCATAAGAGGAATGTCTTCCAACTTCTTCTTAGCGCCCTCGTGTGGTATGTAAAGTGCATCCATCACGTTAGTCCTACGTGACTTGGCAGACAGCATAGAGATTCTCGTAAATTGGTCAAGAGAGAAACGGAGTATTTCGTCCAGACACTGGAAGGCTGCTGCTAACATATCGGCTGGAATTTGTGAATCTTCCTCACATGCGCAGACGATATATTCAGATAACAAGTAAAAAGGCGCTTGTTTGTGAGCCAAATCTAGCTGCCTCATCGACCTTCTTCATTGTATCCTCCATCTTTGTTCTAGTCTTATCGACAAATATTGACTTGGTCGGGGCTTTGCCGCTATCTCCAGTCAATTTGTCCTTGGCCGTATCCGGAATAGTAGGAACCGTAAAGAAATCATTTCGGTCCTTTTCTGGAAATTGGAAATAGGCTGCCGACCTTTTGTTGAAAGCCGTCCATTTCTTTGAATCGGCGATGCGTTGTATGCGATCCACTGGCATAGTTGGGAAAGCTGGATCCCGAGGTTCCTCTACGCCAGTCCGGTGTTTGAAAGAACAACGGGTGGTCTCTGGTTTACTGCTCTCTGGTAGTTGCAGTACCCGAACCATATCTCTTTGAACCAGCCTCAGCTGAGTCTCAAATGGCGAAAAATTGCCAGGGTCAGTGGCCTCATCATCCCCAGAGCGCTCATCTTTTGAGTGAGTGGAAGGGGGGTGAATATCATCGACATCTATGTCAGGAGCATCTTGAACAGAAGTGCCCAAATTCATAGATGGGTGTAAAGACATTCCCGCCTGTGATCTCGAGGGCGCCCAATCGCGGCCAGGAGTAGGTGGATTATCTGAGCAGACACTGATGGCAACCCCAGGATCTGGGGGCCCAGTGTGTTCCCCTCTCATCCCGCCCGAATTCGGCAGGATTGCGCCCGGATCCGGCTGAATTAAGCCTGGATCCGGCCGGATCGCGCCCGGATTCGGCTGGATTGGACCCGGATCCGGCCGGATCACACCCGGATCCAGCAGGATTAGACCCGGATTTTGGTCCGGAAATGTGGCCGCCGGGAGTGACCTCTGAGTCACCGCTGGGGCCGATCTCCATTGTTGTTGTTTAGTGAGGGCTGCTAGCGAAACGTTGATGTCCTGGTAAGCTTTTAGAAAGATTTCCGTGGATATACCTTTGTTTTTCTTTTTCCGATGCGTCGACTAACGGGGGGAATCCCCTGAAGAAGACGGCGCTGCCTTGTGTTTCCTTTTCTTACTTGGGTGACTTGATTCACTGGATGAAAACTCCGATAATATCCTGGGAATTCCGGAGCATTGATCAAAGAATGATGTTGACTGCGAGTCTGTGGCCCGAATTGGGGGAGGAGGCAAGTCAGTCACCGCGAGTCCTGCCCATTCCGCACGGGTGGAAGCAGGAAGCTCGGAGCGCGATGAACGCGCAGACGGGACCGGTGAGGATTGAATCCTTTTACCACTCCGTGACTGGTCGTCCCCGAGGATTGCTGGAGCCAGCAGACCGGGAGGACGAGGTGAAGAAATTCCCGTGAAACCACGGGAAATCGACGCCGGGTTGCTAGGTGACGCCGGGCGAGGCGGCCGAGGGAAGGGAACAGCCAGCGGCCGATATACCCACGAATATCTCGCCGCTATCTCGTTTGTCGCCGCACTGCCGAGATAGCTTAGGACGGGCGAGGGGCAGGGAACGACCTCTGTCGATATACCCAACGAAACGTCCTTTTCTAGCTTACTAGCTCCCGAGCTAGCTGAAACAGTCAGGGGGCAAGGGAACAACCTCTGTCGATATACCTCCACTGTACTCGTCTCGCTAGGCCCTAGCTCACCGCGAGCTTAGGGGAAACGAACGGAGAACAGGGAACGGCCGAAACTGCTGTATTCTTCGAAACGTTACGCTAGTCCCCTGAACGGCCGAAAGTCTGACTTCCGGAACAGGGGCCCCACGTGTGGGGCGACTAGCAGACCTTGTGGAGAATAACCGCACTTCTCTCCGGGGATATACGACGCACTGTCTCCCCTAAAGGTCTTTACGGATTCGTCCGTCTATGGAGTCATAAACGAAATGCACTGCTTTTTTTTTTTCTTTTTTTTTTGACAAAGAAATATTATTATTAGATAACTGTACAACAGAAATAATAATAATAACTCAGGAAAGCCGACTCGGCTAAAAGGGGATTGCACTCGATCCCAAAGGGAGAACCCATGATGCCTACCCGGCACTGGGCTAGTCCCGCGGTGCCGACCTGGCCCGCCGCACACGGTGTCAGACAAAGGCTGAAAAGCCTGCTACGCCACGTGAAAGAAAAACGAAAGCAAAATGACTCCAAAATGACTCCAAATGAGAACTACTTAACTCAAACCAAACTCTACAGTATTTTACACAACTCACTTAGTTGATAAATTCTATAAAACAGAAACTCTTAAAGCGAAAATCGTACAAAAACTCGTCAAAAGGCGAGAGCAAAATTTTTTGCTTCTGCACCATGCCGTCGCTAGAAAAAAAGAGGAAGCATAATGGTGGATTCATGACGTAGCATAATGGGTAGGCCCCGAGAGGGCGCTCGTTGGTTGATTAAATCTTTTAGCGTTTGAGCCTGTCGGCTGAATAAATATGCATATGTAGTAGCTATTTGGGTAAGTGAATGAAGTAGACTGGACGCTTCGCACAAAAAGACTGGTCCACAAACAACAACTTTTGCAACCCACCATTTCACCTGCTGCCGCAGGTACTAAATGTCATCGAAGCGACTCGAGCATGGGCAACAATAATTGCACCGCACTGGCCAGCACAGTCGTGGTTTCAACGCCTTACAAGCACGTTAGTTTGTCCTCCGCTAAAAGTTCCAAAGTGCAACATATTCATTCCAAATTGCGGACAACCAGAACCCTGGACAGTGTATGCCGGGCGCGTATGTGGAGGCAATCACTAAGTGCACAACGGTGGTCAAAACGAGCCACTCTACAACTTCCTCTATGTCTAGCCCCGACAACTCTTGCTGCTTACAACAGGTCGATTCGGAAGCTCCACTGTTTTTGCCACGACAGGAAATTGGATTTCCCTCCCATGCAGCCAGATATCATAGCTGATTTTCTGTGTTCAATTGCCGACAATTCTGATACGCCTAGGTCACAACTAATAATTGCCCAAGCTGCCTTTGGACATATGTATCATGCATACGGTTTGCACAACCCTCTGGAATTGGTTCCAATCCAACTGCTAATCACAGCACTCGTCAAATCTGGCACACAGAAACCAATGACTAAATCCAGAGTGATTCCGGTTGAGCCATTCTCTGACTTATTTTGTCACTGGCAGGACAGTGAATCACTCAGTATCAAGCAGCTGCGTTTGAAAACTATTACTTTAATGGCTCTTACTCTTATGCTCTGACCATCGGACAGTTTGATACAAACACACTTGGTACATCTTATATTTTATTATTATTATATTTTCAACTGATAATGTAATATTTACTGATACAGGTGTGGATGAGATTGTGTTCCACGGTATTAAGAATGACACAGCTCGTTTAGGGTTTCAGGTTCTAATGCAACCGGTAAATAATACTAAATTAAATCCGGTGCAAGCTCTCAGTGATTACATTGTACGGACCCAATTGGTTCGACCCAAGGGAAACCCAGTATTTTTGTCATTATTGCCCCCACATGGTCCCATCAGTGCGTCTACTGTTTCAAGCATCCTAAATGAAGCCATTCAATTGGCTGGCCTAGCAAATTTGGGATTTTCCGTCAAAAGTTTTAGGCCCACTGGTGCAACAGCTGCAATAGATCTAGGTCATGATCCAGAAATTACTATGCATCAGGGTCGCTGAAAAACAAGATCTGTGTTTTTATCACTAGCGTCAATGTCTGTAGCTATTATGGGGTATGTTTCTTGAGTACCGGTACATGTACATGTATGTAGGTAGTACTGTTAATTTTCCTCTCTATTATGGCACATCCAATTAAAATGTTTGTATTTAACATTGTTTAATTGTCCAACTTATTGTTGTTGGTGTTGGCTATAATGGAGGTTTACAG